ACAAACGTTTCTTTTTTGAAAATTTGATCACGATTTAAATACAGTATTTAGTTTTAATATTACCGATATGTCATCGAAAAGAAAACGTGTTGTATTATCATTAAAAGACAAATTAAAGTATTTGTTTCGATTATCCGGATTTTTCCTTATCCGGACTACCTTCATCCCTAATTAGTCCGGATAATCGAGGTTCTACTGTATTATTATAATGAACTTAATGTTTATCTTTGAGTAAATAGATTTGGATAGAGAGAGACCAGCAGGACTACATAAATGGTCCTATTAAATTCCTATGTCAAAAACGTGATATGAAAATGATAAATAAAGAATCTTCAAATACCGGATTAAAATACAAAAATAATCTCTCATCAAACCCTTTAAGAGTAAAATTATATGCAAACATTTTCGGATCCCTCCCTGGGTCCTTTCTCAAGCAACATTCTTCTTTAAAATTCGTTAGAATGAAGACCAGTAGAATGAATTTCTTCAAAACTGCGATATTCGAAAAAATTACTTCTTCCGAACCACATTTCAAAAGTCGAAATTCAAAAATCAATGTGAATCGCATGCATTCCAGTATTCCGTAATGCAATGCTCGTTTTTCTTAAAAATGTTTTTATGAATTTTTACATTAACGAAAAAATGAATAAAGAAAATAAAAAAATAAAAATAAGTAAAAAATAAAATAGCATATCATCGGGTATGATGTTTTAATACCCTATTTACTATGCATATTTATTAAATACGCATAGTAAGGACCCAGGGAGGGATCCGAAAACATTTGCATGTAATTTTACTCTTATTTAATGCCGGTTAAAGGGTTTGATTAGGTTATTTTTGAAAATGATAAGAACTCAAAGTTCTAATTGTGAAAAATCTAATTTTATTTGTTTTTATTCATATATTTTTGTGCCTTTTGAAGATGGTGAACCTACATTTGTGACCAACTCATGCTCTATCTGTCTTCTCTTGGAATATATATTGTTGAAATTATATTTTAAAAATTTTTTTTAAACTATTTCAAATAATCAAGTTTCTAATGTAGTTTGAACTATTATTAAAATCAGTTTTAAAAAGTTTATAAAGACAACTTTAGCATCCATTACCCTCTGTAGCTCTTGTTCAGCTATTGCTTCAGTATATTTAAAGTGATTTTAAATCACTAAAATTTTGGTTAAAATTATACATATATATGTTTTAATTATTGTCTTATCACCAATGGACATTTTAAAATTCCTACATAATTTTGCAGAGGTGTAGCCTCTAATAAAAGGTTATTTCTGCAAAGGAGGACTGTTTTGTTACTGGTAATTGGACATGATGAAAGTGTGAAGATGGCTTAGTTTTCTTCTTTATTTTTAATTATCTACTTGAATGTCTATAGCTCCACTCAAAATTTTACCATCATTTTGTGTCTTCAGAAATTGTGGATTTTTAGCAAACACATTTTTGAATTTCTCAAAAATGTATTTGCTAAAAATTCAATTTTTCAGTTCCTACATTTCCTGTAACTGCTTCTAGTTTCTGCTGTAATGTAAAAATTATCTTCAGCTGTTGAATCAGAGAAAGTCCTGTAGAGAAAGCTACTCAATAAATGCAGGAAGAAACTGAAATAACTAGATATATATACTAATTCATTATTACATGTTGAATCTGCTAAGAGTGTCTTCATATTATGTATGCATGCTGCAACTTCAGAGATATCTTCCATTACTTGTTGAAACTAACTATAGTTATTTGAATAAAGATTTGCTGCTTCTACGCACATCTCCCAATGTGAGATCACTGGTTCTGATGGTTATGATAAGTTCTTTTCTTTATCAATTGACTCTCTGGAAGATGCTTTTTAAAAACATCTTTTTACCTGTAAAATAACACCACACACTTCATCTTCAAGTAAAACTGTAAAGAGCAATACATACAAGCTACATTGTTTATCATTGTTGATTAATTGTTAACATGTAGGTGCAGCTCTTATGTAAGATATGTAATCCATATCTTACACAAGTAACAAGTTTCATATTTGGAAAGATCTGTAGCATATGGTATATGGCATATCCATTCTTGTGATTTCATCTACCTTCAAGCACACTAGAACTTTTGGCACTTTTAATTTAATCAGAAAGTATAATAAATGAATTTGAAATCTGTATTTGAAAAATGTATTAACTGCATAATGCATGTGATGCTTAAGTGCATTCTATGTGCTCATTGGGCATTTTAACTTCAGTGCTTTGGTCATTATATTTTTGAATTCAAATGCTAATTGATTAGCATTGATGACTGACTGTTACAATTTCATTAGCACTAAGTAATGGACTTATCTAAATTTCAAGTTTTGTTTATATTCAATAGATTTAAGTGTACACAGTTAACATTTTAAAGAACATAACCAAACAGCAACAACATGCAATGTTATTGTGGGGGCCGAGGGGGGAGAAATAAAAAAAACTCGATGAACGATAATATGTGATATATATCGTCATCGTCTCCCTTGCTGTTTGGATTGCTGAGCAGTAACAATCAACGACATGTGGAAGCAGTCCAAGATAGATGCTTCATTTACAAACAACACAAACGTTTATTAAATACGAAAGAAGCTTACAAGATTTCTGTGATCTTGGAAGTTCTGCGGCGGCTGCGGTCTCTGGGTCTTCCTCTCCTTTTCAAGATAGTCCCATTTTGAAGGAGTGTCCCTTGTTTGCGAATGAACCATTCCATCATGTCTCGATGACTCGGGACGATGCGGTTGACTTCCGTTGATGGAAAGATGTCGATCCGAGGTCAGGAGATGGAGACGAAGATGGGCGCGAGACACACACACAACAATAGATCCGTCACTTGGAACTTTCGGGAGAAGAAGCCGTCGCGTCCTTGAATTTCCGGGGTTTTATCCGTTTTCTCTCAGATTCTCCTTTCCAATTGGTCTCTCCTCGTCACCTGATGACAATTCGAAACCTTTCAGGGGCGTGGGAGAGGTTAAAATCGAAGTTTAATTCGATCTCCAACCAGAAATGGTCGACGGACTTACATTCCTCTATTGTTTAAAAGTTAACGTTGCGTTTTCATAAAATAAACATCTATTTCTAACTACTATATATTTTTTCTCTAAAACAATTATTTTAATGCAAATTTTAGTGAGGGTTTGGACCTGTCCAGAGCCTCACATCATTAATTGGGAGCAATCACATTTGAAATATTTTGTCCAAACTTGTAAACTAAAGTACAAAATAAAGTTGGAAAAATAACTAAAACTGATGCAAAACGACAGTAATTTCATAAAAGTTGCAATAGTGAGACAAACTGAAATAAATTAAATTTTGAAACTTTAGATTTTGAATTTAAGACAGTGATTTGGTCTAAATACTTGATCCATTTATTAGCAAACAAAAGTTGCAATATTAATGAAATGTGAGCTTTACTATTAATTGTAAATTAATAATTTTCAGTTCCATTGAGTTTAGTTTCATTGTGAATTGTTAAAGCAAGATTTAAAAGAAAATAACAGAAAAGAAAAATCCTTGTAACTACAAATAATTTAAAAAATATTTTTTTCAGGAAGAAAAATGTTTTATACTGTATATAGTAAAATAAATGGCTTAAATTATTTTAATCAATTCATAGTTTTGATGGTTATTAAGAAAAAAGTCTTATGTTTAGCATTCCATATATGAAATTTATTTAATGATGTACTGTACATCGAAAAACTTTATTTTCTGTTATAAATATAATTTTGTTACATTTATAGAATATAAATTTATGATAAAATCTTGAGGTAAGTTTTATTGTTAAGATGATGTCTTATGTCTATTATAAATATAATGAAAATAAATTAATTTCTTATATTTGATTTATAATAATGTTTAATTCCAAAAGATCATAAATCATAATCATTATTTTGTTCATGTAGTTTTCAGCATTCCTTAATACATTGCATAAATTTGTCTTCCTGTTCAAAATTGTTTTGAATAATTTAAAAAGTGTTATTTTAGAATGTTTGAAATCTTACTTCACAGATTAGATTTAAATTTCAAAATTAAAATGAAAGTTTGATTTACATTTTAAGTCTGTTTACATGCCATATTTTATGGGATATAAGATGCAACTTTTATCCAAAAAAGGTATCATAAAAATTGCCCTACATCTTGTGACATTATGTTATCTGACAGACCGATGAATTTCTTTAACAACTTTCAGTTTGTTCATTAAGTTATAGCAATGCAATACTTGGGAAATCTGCCTAGGGAGGATGCCTTCTGGGAGGTCTTTTTAAGGGTAACTTGTCCCTATTCAAGTGTTAGACATGGAGAAAATCAAGAAAATTCCATGTGGTCAGCCCGTCCTGGTGAGGTGCAAATCCATGACTGAACTCCCAGTATTCAGGGAATGGAACCACTTGGCCACTGGTGGACCCCCAAGAACTTTCAGTAGACTATAGGTAACCTCTACCTAGTCCATCTCATGAATGAAAATGTTATTGTTTAATTAAACATATTATTTACTATAGCTAAGCAGCATTTGTATGTATTCATGTAGAATATTTTAACTGTAAATGGCTTTTTTATATTTCTCCTTTTTCCCAATAAATGCACATATTAATTTTATTTTTTTTAAAGCAGAATCAGTAAAATTTTGGGGCCAAATGCAAAAGGCATGATTGATTCAGTTAAATACAGTAAATACTTATATTCCAAAATATTCTGTACTGAAATGGGTGTATGTCTTATATGCCATAAAGTATGGTATTATCATTATGATTATTTAAGCTGTACAATAAATACAGTTCTATATTGTGTAAAGAAATGTAAATATATATATAATTTTATATTAAAATTGAATAAAAATTAAATTAAACAACCAGTATTTCAGTATTCATATTATTTTATTATATACTGAGATACTTAATGATAATGAATTCAAAAAATATCACTTACTTGTTATATTACATTTATTCATTACATGAGAGTAATTGTATTATTATTATTATTAAATTATTTTAGAACCTCCTATAAACAACTGTCAGCAAGAATCATATAGTTCCTCAACGACTGGAGGTGGAAGCGATCTTAGTGCCACCCGTCCAAAACGGTATTCTTCACTCAGGCAGCGATCAGTTGCAGATCCACCTGTTTATCAACCCACTCAAACTACACTACCCCCTCCTTATTACGACGCAAGTATGTTTAATAAATGATGATTAATAGTTTATTAATGATTAAAATGTATTTTAATTAGGTAGAGAGAGAGGAAAAAAAATTAAAAGTAATACGCTCAGAATTTATTAAATTATGATTATGAATTGTTATTCGTATATCTGTAATTTAATAAATTTTATAACATTAAGTTTTTGAAATTGTAAATCATTTATTAAATGTTTAAAAATCCTGAAAAAAATGTGTTGAAATTGAAAAAAAAAACAAAAAACAAAAAAATATTTATCTATATATATTTATTTTACTTTGTATTGACAAAATGAGTGTAATTTAATAAATGAAAATAAAAAAAAAGTTTTCACTGCATTCATTCTGCTGCAACAATATTTTTTTTCCTATTTATCTACAACCATTATCAGGTTATCAAGCTGCCTTGTATTCAGCTACTGAAGCTTTGCCTCCAAGTTCACCTCATCAGACTTCAACCAGTCCACCAATTCCACCAATGTTACCCACTGCCCCCTTCCAAAGTTATGCCACTGCCTCTTATCAAGAAACTTATGGTAAGAATTTTTTAAAAGACATTATTAATGGACAGAAACATATACCAAAATGAAATGTGGATCTTCTAAAATATTAAAAAAAAAACAAAATCAGATGTATTCTTTAGACTTAGATCATCACAGTTTGTTTATATTTATAATATAAATTATTTAAATATTTAAAAGTAGTAATATTTTAATTTTGTTTACTTTTTTCCCTCTTAATACTTGAATTCTGACTTTAAATTGAAGTCAATAAAATTAAACGAAAATATATGTGTATATATGCAAGTTTTAAAAGTGATTTTTGAAATTTTCAGCAATTATTATTACTTAAGTGCATCATAAAGCTGTCATTCAGTTCACAATAAACATATTGAAACTAATGCTTAGTCAGTATATTACAATGAGGACTGAAAGACATATAAGAAATAAATATTATTATAAAAGTTAAATTTAATTATCAATTTCTTCCAGTAAAAATATACAATTGTTTTCTTTCCTTAATTTTTATCAATAGTGACTTGTAATAGATAAAAACTTTATATTATTTGATGAAATTAAATATTTAAATTATCATCATCTACTAGGATTTCTGTGTATTAATAGGAGTTATTATACTGGTGTGATTAATTGGATACAAAGAGGTAGCAGTAGTCAAATTTAAAACAATACTTTTTTATTTTCATCTGTTTTACCTGAACATAACTTTTTTGTCTTTTGGACTCTTAGTTTCTCTTCAGCAGTTTTACAATGATCTAAAAATATTATACAATAAATTACATCCTTATAAATCTGCAATAAATTTAAAATATACATTGATACATTCGTTTTTGTCGATAATCTGTCTGAAAACAATCAGCAAAATCCGAACCTGACCAAAACCAAGGCAATTATTTCTGTATGAATCAATGTAAATCCTATTAATTCATTCTAGACACTCCAAAATAATACCAAAAACATATTTTATAGAGAATAAATATAGTGTTTAATACTAAAAACAATAAGAAATTAATATAAAATGAATATAAAAGACTAATGTAAAGAATAAATGAACATTTAATATGGCATTCAAATGGCTGGCTGGCTCTGGAAATTTTCTTTGGTCCCATGATGGAGCTAAAAGGAAAGGAAAGCAATGGAATTGTTTGGCTAGAGGTGCAGGGTAATGCTCACACAATTAAAAACAGTGCCACATTGAGCAGGAAAAAGCATGGGTTGCCTTTGTTTTTGAAAAATTATCAGCGAGGTCCCATTGGTGTGCTGACAAAAACTGAGACAAATTTTTTGTGGAAAAAATTGACAAAAACAGAGGTATTACTGTATTTGAAAACTTTAAAGCTTACAATAAAATGATAATAAAGATAAACATCAAAAGTACGCCTTCCTTGCATCTGGTTTTCATTCCGTAATGGTTAAATATTCTATTCTTCAGAGATTTTTAAATACTTTTGGAGTATAGCTTCATCTATAAGTGTGATAAGACCTATTAATACGCAGAAGTCATAGTAGATGATGATAATTTATATACATTATTTTTGCTTTACAAATATCATTATTTGAAACAAATAAAATGAACAATGCTTACTTTATTTTTTTTTATTTTGCAATTTAGATAATCTATTTTTTTTAATTTTTTAAATAAAAAAAGAATTTAAACTTATCTCAGATTTAATATAATCCAAATTACAAATTATACACAAAGTAAAAATCTTTGGTTTATAAAATGTTTTTAACTTATTAAAATACAGTTGAATCTGATTAATTTGAACTTTATTAATTAAAATTAAAGGAGAAATTAAACATATAAATTTGGATAACTCGAAGCTAGTATATCTCACCTTTTCAAAACAAATTTCTAAGAGGTAAGTAGCACATACTCAACTGATTTATACAAAGTGTGTAATTTGGGATTACTCAAAGTGCATATCTTATAAATCTGCATTCTGTAAACTCCTGAGGCATGGATGAAATGCTCATATATTCAGTTATGATGTTTGTATCTAGATAATAAAGTTGTGTAGCTGTGTTTTTATGTTATCAGAGGGAAATATACATACATTTATCTGTAGCCTAAAAAAGTAGAAAATAAAGTAAAATATACAATATTTCCAAAAAACGTGAAAAGCTGCTAAACATTACAAACTTGAGGAAAACTAATTTAATTTTTAGAAACAAATAATTCAAACTTTTTTGATTTCTCCTCACGTTCAAATTAAAAAGATTGTACTGTATTGCATTTGACAAATCTAGTTGAGTTTTTTTTTTCCAAATTAAACTTAATATTTACTGTATAGTAGAGTATTAAAATTGTTCTGTTGTGACTTTTTATAGAAATCTATCAAACTGGACAAAAACAAAGTTAATTCAAAATATAAAGAAATTTCTAAAAACTTTATTACATGTTCAAGTGTACATAAATAAAATTGCTTAATTTTAGGAGAAAAATATTAGAAAAATCGTGAATTTGAATATGAAAAGACAGTTTAATTTCTTGTTTTCACAGTCAATTCAAATTTTTATTTGTCTTTATTTTAGATAAGTTTGCCAAACTTATTTTTAATTTCTATGAACATTAACACCATTCAACTTCCAATCAGAATATTAACATCTTCCATTATTGGTTTTAATTAAAACCTGTGAAAAATATTGAAATTATTCATAAAATTTAAGCCTATTCTTAACTACAGGGTGGTGGAAAGTAATTAGACATTGAGAAATCACTATAATTTCTATATTTCTAAAGCAAAGTTGATGAAAATTATTTGAGATGTATCTTATTAAATGGAAATAATGATGCATACTTTAAAATTAAATGTAGGCACTGGTGCCATCCACTGGTAAAATGCTTTTCTGAGATCATGAATTGGATGGATCACACTTCTCTGTGTATCTGTAACTGAACCTATGGTCATTTTAGCTTCAAGTGACAATTTTTGATTGTTTCCAGACTGATTGTAGCATGAGGTCCCATCACCATACGCTATAATCTCTGCACAGAAACCACAGTACTGATTTCCACACTTCATATCATGCAGCAATCTTAACTTGCTCTTGAACAGACAAGCAGTCAGGCATATTTTATACCATTGCATATGTAGACACTCTCAGTCACTGTCCACAGCACTGGAAATTATAAAATTTGATTGATTGGTGTACATATACACAAATTTTATTATGATTGCAGTATTATTACGATAGTTATAGCAATTTCTCAATGCCAAGTTACTTTCCTTCCACTTGTACCTATATTAAATTTAAGAAAACATGCTGAATGATTCTGATTTAATTTTTTTAATTTATAAGATAATTTTTGTTTAAATTTCCACAAATGTTTTCCCTTTCTGTATTAGTAATTATTAAATAAATTATTTTAAAAAGCAGTGATTACTTTTGAACATATAACATATGCAAATCTTGAGTTTCTTAATCAAACTAAACTTCATTAAATAAGTTTTTTTGAGGATATAATTAGAATGATTACACAGACAAATTTAGTATAGAGATAGGCCACTATTTTGTGTTAACATATAAAACAATGCCTATCTTTAGACTAAATTTGTGTAATTGTTGTTATTGTAACCTGAAAGCAACCTGATTAAGGAGGAATATTTCTGAAACTTTCATTTGGTTTATTGAGAGAAACAATTTTTGGATTTATTCTAATCCTTTTGTATATATTGTGTATATTTAAATGAGAATGGACCTGAGAAAGTAGAACACTAGCTAAAGCAATAATAATAACAATAAAATGAATATTAGTAGTGTTCTACTTACTTGTGTATATTAAAACTAAAATCAAAACTATTTTTATTGAAATTACAATAATTTTTTGTCATTTTAATAAAAATTAGAATTTAGACTGAAAGAAGTGAATAATAATCCTAATAATGTTTTATTCTAGTCTAAATTCTAATCTATATTAATGTCAATATATCTTATAATTTTAATTTAAAAAAAAGATATATTTATTAGTGTGAATAAATTACATGAAATCATTTGGATATTTAATAAAAAGACAATTAAACTTTTACTGCACTAAACATTTTAAAACATTATTTCAGACCAACCTGATGCACAAAATGTTTTAAGATGTTTCTCTTGTACTTAACGTTGGAAAGAATTTTGAGTAAGAAGTTACATATACACAGTCACTCTTATTTTAATTTAAAAAAGATGAAGAAATTTAATTATAAATACAAAATACAAAAATGTAGCTTAAATCTATAAATAAAAGAATTGTGAGTACAGTGTTTCATGTAGAAAGAAGTATTTTTCTAAATTTNAATATATATATATATGCATTAAAAATTAAACATAATATTGGGAGGGAAAAATTGTAATAAAATGTTGAGATTAATTCATATCAAATAATCATACGTAATGCCTTGTGTCATTCATAAGAAAGTAATTTATTATTTGGTTTTTTATTAATTTTAATCATAGGCTACATATACAAAAATGATATCTTTCATTAGTGCAAATCTTGAAAATATTTGCTTTAATAAAGGTACAGTAATAATGCATTTAAAAACTTGTAGAATAAATTTTATATTTGAAATTTAAAACAATTGAATAACAATAATACAAACAATGGTTTTTTATGCAAATGTTTTAAAAATAAAAGTCTATTAATTTAGCTGTAAAATGTTAATATACGAAAACAAAACATGGTACTAAAGTATGAAGAAATCAATAGATTTATTATATTTCATTAAATCTCAACTACATAAAAACTAAATTTTTTTTTAAGAAGTCAAAAAATATTTTGTTTTAAAAACATTTTTGAATTTATAAAGATGATAACTGTTTTTCCTTCTCATTTTTAAGCTGAAGGTGGAAGTCTAAAGGTTAATTCACACTGAGCAAATAGCGAAAGTGCATGAGAAAACCGAAAAGTGATTTTTATTTGCCTAGCAAAATTGAATTGCACAACCAAAAGTGAAAGGCCATTGCAAATTTTAAGCAGTTAATCATTTACAAGCAAGAGAAAACGTCATCTCGAAAAACAAAATGGTCAC